GTCTCTTCGCTAGATGAGTTTAAATCGTTTATGAAGCGTCTGCCCAGCAACCACTTCCTGACCATCGGGAGCATCCATCAGCACTGGGGCAGCGACTGGGACCTGCAGAACCGTTACAAGCTCCTGCAGAGCGCCACCGAGGCCCAGAGGCAAAAGATCCAGCGCACCGCCCGCAAGCTCTTCGGCCTCAGCGTCCGCTGTCGCCACAATCCCAACCACCAGCTGCCTAGAGAGAGGTAAGTGCGACCCCCCCCCCCCCCCCCCCCACCGCCTCTGCAGGCTCAGACCTGTTTCTGGCTTAAGTTCCCCGTGGCCCAGGGAAATGCCATGCCGATGATGATGCACCTGCTGGTGGCAGGCCAGGCCTTGTGTGGTCCAGGCCAACCAACCATTTTCTGGATCATCTCTGGCTTCTCTGCTTCTGGTTGCTGCTGTCCTGGGTTTTCTCACCGTTTCCTGAATATGCCCGGAACTTTCAGCCTCTGTGCTCTGTCTGATCCGTTGGACTGTGGAAGGGAGCCCGCAGTAGCCCTGACTGCTATGTGACATTATTCTGGTTGCGTGAAAGGTATTATCTATTTAATTTAAAAGTTACTTGACAGATTGGGGCGCCTGGGTGGTTCAGTCGGTTAAGCATCTGACTTCCGCTCAGGTCATGATCTTGTGGTTTGTGAGTTCGAGCCCTGCATCGGGCTCTGTGCTGACAGCTCAGAGCCTGGAACCTGCTTCGGATTCTGTGTCTCCCTGTCTCTCTTTTCCCCTCCCGGCTCACGCTCCGCCTCTCTCTGTCTATCTAAAAAATAAATAAACATTTAAAAAAAACAGAAATTACTTAACAAAGCAGATTTTAGCATCCCCATCTTAATGGTGAAGAAACTGGGTTAACTAATCCCTCAGCTATATATTGAGGACCTTTGATCAGGGCCTGGAGTCAGCCACACAAAAAAGGCACGGACCAGGAAAATTTAAGGAGGCACTCCCTGGCTGGGTCTTGTGAGTGCAGGGTCCTCACCTGAGAGTGAGAGCCTCCTTAAACACCTGGATGCCTCACTTCCTTCCCTCTGGGCTGACAAGGCAGAAGTTCCTGGGTCTTCACAGATCTTAGGGTTTCTTTGCTCCCTCTGGAACTTCTGGGGAAGAAGCCAGGATTGAGATCCAGCCCTTTCAGACTCCATTCTCCCAGGGCATGTGTAAGCTGCTCCCTGGCAGGGGGGAGTGCGGTGGTTTCTGTAGTGGTGCCTCTGTGGATTCCACAAAGGCATCTCCATCCAGCAGAAGGCAGGTTTGGGGGCTGTGCACCCTGCTTCGGCTAGCGCAGCTGTACCTTGATTTGTTTCATATTTGGGGGTTTTGCACTCAACTTTATTCAGAGAGAAGAGATCCACTCTTTAAAAGAGTAAGGCTAAGGCACATTCACTTGCCAGATTTGCGGTCAGCCACGTGTCTGTATAGCTGAGTGCTACCCTTTTTGCACAGAGCAGAGAACCAGCTCAGAGAGGCCCAGTATTTGGTCCAGAGCTACAGTGCACATCAGTGGTTCCCAAGAGGAGGTGATTTTGTTCCCGGGGAGCATTTAGAAATGTCTGAAGACATTTTTGAGTATCATAATGGGTGTGGGGTGCTATTGCACAGGGCAATCCCCACAGCAAAGAGTTTATCCTTCACCAAAAAGTCAGTGATGTTGGGGTTTGGAAGCCCTGACATAAGAGGAAGAGACAGGATCCCCCAGCGCTATGATGCTAAACACCGTGTTCTTCCTCGCCCTACTGGGCAGGCACCCAAAGATTAAAGATCCATGACACTTCTAAGCATTTCCCTCATGCCAGCCACCCCCACGCACTTCCTCGTTTTCCTCTTCATTTTTTCAGACTCAGATCAAATGCCGCCTCCTCCATGAAGTCTTTCCTGATTGCACCAGCCACTACAGAGGCTCTTTATTCTAGGGGCCCATTACTCTAAAACCCCTACCCATCTTCCCTTTCTCCCCCCACTGTGAAGTCTCCTCCTTTTACTCCTGGCCATGCTGACCCGTGTGTTTCCCATTCCTTCCGACTCTGGACCCATTGCTTGGCAGCTAGTTTGTGATCATTACTTGGTGGACCAAACAGGATTTGCTCTGGCAGTCGCTCCCTCGCTGCAGTGCGGCGAGTACAGGAACTAAAGAAAGGGGTCCAGTCACAAAATGGCTTCCTTGTCATCTGCAGCAGGTGCCCAAACTGCCACCACGAGCGAGTGCCCAGATTCCATCTAGAGCCATCAGGCTTTGGTCACGTGACCCGCATTGGATGCAGTGAGGGATTCAGAAAGGAGCACAGTACACAGGGCTGTGAAGGATGTCTTTCAGAGGAGGGGCTCTGTTAGCAATCACGAAAAACCCCGTATGTATACATACATGTGCTTAAAAGCAGCTTGTTAGTGCTGCCATAGCAAAGTACCACAGGCTGAGTGGTTTAGACAACAGAAATGGATCTTCTCACAGTTCTGGAGGCTGGGAGTCTGAGATTGAGGTGGTCTGCAAGGTTGGCTCCTTCTCAGTCCTCTCTCCTTGGTGACACGTGGCCGCCTTCTGCCTGTGTCCTCCCGTGGTGTTTCCGCTGTGCGTCTCTGTGTCCTAATCTCTTCTTACAAGGACACCAGTCCTTTTGGGCTAGGGTCCCGCCTCAATGACCTAATGTTAACTTAATTACCTCTTCGAAGCCCCTTTCTCTAAATAGTCACATTCTGAGGTACCGACGGTGAGGGCTTGAACGTACGAGTGTGGGGGAGATATAATTCAGCCCAGAACCCCAGAAAAAGTGGCTTTTGATCTATAGGTGAAGAAACCCTGCATGCACCCCCAGGATTCGCCACACTGGATGCAAATCTGGTGGCAAAGGGTAACATTTAACCGTTACCTGATTTTAAACAGGTCGGTCTGTCAGTTTTGCCGGGTGTCCCCTCAGAGAATGAAATGGAAGGTCCAAAGTCGGACACATTTATTAAAGGTGAGAAGAATTTCCAGGGTGCAGGTCACAGAGCACCATCAGTCCTGCCAGGCCTAGGAAGGCTCAGGAGAGCTCCAGAAGGAGAGCAGCCAGACGGGCATTACAAAGAGGAAAGGAAAGGGGCGCCTGGGTGGCTCAGTCCGTTAAGCGTCTGACCGGCCCAGGTCATGACCTTGCGGTTCCTGAGTTCAAGCCCCACTTCAGGTTCTATGCCGACAGCTCAGAGCCTGGAGCCCGCTTCAGATTCTGCCTCCCTCTCTCTCTCTGCCCCTCCCCTGCTCATGCTCTGTCTCTGTGTCTCTCAAAACTAAATTAAACGAAACAAAAGGCAGTAGCAAAGAGGGGCAAAAACGGGCAACGGGAAGAACACCGCACGGAATCACGGGGTTAGACTGCGATCCCGCCCCACCATTGGCAAGCTTCGCGACCTTTGGCAGGTCGCTTCCCTGTTGGGAGGGCAGATGTCCACATCTGTCCACGAGCTGCTCTTCCCTTGCAAGCCGCCAGGCCAGAAGTGTCCCACCATCACCAGGACCTTCAAAGAAAGACCTCCCAGTGTGGCCCTCTGTCCTCCCGCGAGAGAAAACTTGCCTGAATCCTAACATCCCTGCTCTAACTCATCTGGAGAGGATGTCTAGGACTCCACCTTAGCAAGGCAGTCAATTATGTTCATTTAACAAGTATTGACTGCCGGGGGCTGGGGGGGGGGGGGGTGCAGGGCACAGAAACTCGGCTCCGGGTGGATTCCTCTGAAGCCTTCCCAGGAGAGCTGAACCTCCTTGCTGGCTGTGAGCTGCTCCCTGACAGCCGAATCGGAGCTTCTAATGAGTGTTTCTCACACCAGCAGGCAGGGCACCTCCCCGCCACAGAGCAGTGTCAGACAAAGGTGCTAACACGGGGGACCTTGGGCCACCTGGACTGAGCGAGCTGGAGTTTGCAAACGAGCCGATTGCTGTGCATTGGTCTGTGTGTGCCAGGCTCCGGGGGAGATGAGTGCACTGAGCAGATGCCTTTGCTACCACAGGTGCCAGAGGGGTTTTTACATGTGTCGCAGAGGGGTGATGTCGAGGCGGGGTAGGGGAGGGAAAGAGCACGGGGCTTCATTTGCACGCGGACTGGGTCCAAATCCTGGCTCCGTGGCATTCCAGCCACAAGGCTCTCCCTACGTCCCTGCACCTCCCTGGCGATGGGATAATAACGCTTTGCCTTCAGGTTAAGTACAAAGACAAGATTTTGAAATACAAAAGACTTGGTAAAACACCTAGCTCAGTTAAGACTGGAGGCAGACGGGGAGAAAGAGGATGCTATCACTTTATACATGTGTTCTAAAGGCCAGGCACTGTTCTCGGCACCCGATAATGAATTAGCTCATTTCTTCCTCACTGCCTCCCTCCGAACTAGGTACCTTTGCTACCCTACTATTCCTACTTTACCGCTAAAGGAATTGACGCACAGAGAGTTTAATAAGATCCCCAAGGTCAATGAGTGTTATTTTATTGTTACTTCAAAGAGGTGGCTCCCCCTAAAATTAAGTGGTGAGCTGATAATCAGAGCTAGCTTTAAGGCATCCTGGAAACTCGACGCTGGTCTGGAAGGCAAATGCCGCCAATACACTCACCCCAAGGCTCAGCGGCTCAAAAAGAACACTTTCTCATCAGCCATCATGATTCTGCAGGTTGACTGGGCACAGCCGGGGGTCCATCGAGGCGGCGGAGGCTGGGGTCATCTGAGGGCCGACTGGCCTGGGCGTCCAGGATGACTCACGCCCACGGCTGGCAGACTGCTGGCTGGCAGCTGGGAGCTCGGCCGAGGCTGCCAAGCAGACTGCCTACACGTGCCCTCTCCATGTGGCCTGGGCTGCTTGCAGCGCGACCGCGTCCCGGGACTGGAAGGAAGCGGTGGGACTTTTTACATCTTAAGCTCCGGAAGTTAGACACCGTATTCTACTGGCCAAAGCCCCGCCCAGATTCCAGGGTGTGAATATTGGGAGCTGTGGGTCTTTGCAGGCAGAGGGAATCGTTTTTGGCGGTTAGGTACTACAGGATGAATTAAGTAGAAATAGAGCTAGACGTGACCATCTTACATGTAGGGCAAATAAAATTAATTACAAAACCATAACAGCCTCTTACTGAGCAGCTGTTATAACAGGCAGGAGAGCTGGCTAAGTATAAAGAGTCCACAGTCAGACTGGCTGGGTTCGCATCCCAGCTCTGTCGGCTGCTTACACTGTAACCCTGGGGAGGTCAGCACCA